CCCGGGTTAATTACTCCCAAAACACTTCCAAGGTGAGCAGACAGGGGTCACTTTGAAGCCTTTCAAAGGTTCGTCTAACAAGTTAGGGTCATTAGATTCACTCAGCAAACAGATGTAGAGCCCCCTTCCCGATGGCACATTAACACGCAGCCTATACACATGGGGACAGAGGCCGCACTATACCCGAATCGGCAAGCCATTCTTACGCCAATAAAGGTAACCTCTAACAAGCTAGAAAAGGTCCTCATACTGAGCTAAAGCCAGAGCTATGTAGCCCTCATAGTTGTACTGTAAGTCTCGGATGATCACTTACATATAAGTCCTTAGAGAGAGGAATCTGAAGCATTTAGAAAGTAACTAAACACTCTAGCACCTTTTTCCAAGTTGCTAAAAAGTCATATTTTAATGTTTATTGCATATAACATTAGGCAAGTTACAAGATCATGGTTTAATTGAGCACTAGCAAAGCTACCTAATGCATATCCTATAGGAGACAAGGTATAAGTTCAATTCTAGGGAATCCCTATCAAGGTGACACATGCAATATGAATTAAATGTATTATAGTTGATAGAAAACAAGGATGATCCCATGCTATACTTGCCTTGAACAAAGTGTTCCTGCTGATCCTGCTCGTCAAACTAGTACTCTTGATCTCCCACGAATTGCTCATCGTCTATACTTGATAATCACAGCAACATACAAGCATCCAGAAGCAATCATGCATAGCAAGCAAAGGCTATAGATTAGAACAGTACACCAACAGCATAAATCAAGATGAAAAGTTTGTAAAATAGATCTACGTCTCGCTATGAACACACAGACGCGAAGATCATAAAAATTGGAGCTCAAACGAAGAAGTTATGAATTAAACAAGGTTTCCTTTAATAAAATAATAGATTAAATCTAACCACGAATTTTAAAAGTTGAAAACATACTTAACAGTAATATGAACATGTAGATTACTCAATTACGAACCTAACGCAACTTGAACCGATCAAATCGGAGTTAAAACGGAGATTTTATGGCCTATAGATGGTAGTGGCAGTTTTGTAAATAGATGAAACTTAATTTTTTGAATTTAAATAAATAAAATCAGATTTTAAACCGAGCCAGGGACTGCAGGCATGAAAACGAAGAAACACAGGGGTTCTTTAACAAAATTGCAGGGACGGCGGGTTGAGATTCAGATAATTATAAGGGCCTTTTTGCAAAACGACAGGCGAAGGGTATCTTCTAACCTGGGCCGCTGATCTAGATTTGGATGGCCGAAAATAAATCAGAGAGAGAGCGGACGGCGAGGCCGCCGGTGAGCTCCGACGGCGGCGTCATGGCCGGAGACGGGCGGCGCTAATGGAATACGGTCTACGGACCTTGAAACAACAAACCAATAGCATCGGGAGAAAGAGGAGATGACGGCGAGCTCGACTAGGTAACTTACCTCGGCGTGAAGCGAACGAGAGTAGCGTGGTGCTCGACGAGGTGGGTGAAGATGGCGGTGGTGCTAGGGTTGCGGCGGTTGGCACAATGCAAGGGCGGCGGCTGGCGCTTTAGGGTCAGGTGAGGGCGGCGCAACGCAGGGGCACTATTTATGGGCTGCTTCGGTGTGCGGGTCACGCCAGGACGCGGTGGAGTTGGGGTGGAGGTGAACTCAGCGGCAGTGAGGATTCTGGCCCGGACACGAGCAGAGGAAGATGAAGACCCTGATGTGCGGGCCCACGTTGTGAGCGAGAAGAGAGAGAGGAGAGCGCGGGCGTGGCTGCGCAGCTTGATGGGCCACGACTGGGCCGAGCGAGAGGAGAAGAAGCGGCCGCGCGGAAAAGCAGACCGAGCGGAATGGGCTGCTTGGGCCAAAATCAAGAGAGGGGATAAGAAAAATAATAAAACTCCTTTTCTATTTTCTTAACATATTTTCAAATCCAATTTAAACTCAAATTCAAATTCCTTTGCAAATTCTAATCAAACCAAAGCATTACAAAATAAAGATGCAGCAGCATGGATGCACATACATGTATGTAGACCTATATTTGATTTTATTTTTAACAAAGTTATTATTTTCCTAAATTTAAATGCTCACAAAATGCATAATTAAATCATTTTCTCCTATTTTAAAACCATACAAATTTTAGGGTGTTACAAAGTGCCTCCTTGGGCCTCGAGCGTCCATTTGAAACGGTCGGCTTTCTTCAGAAGTCGATAAAGGGGGAGACCTCGTTCGTCGAGGCGCGAGATAAAACGGCTGAGCGCGGCGAGACACCCTGTAACTTGTTGTACCCCCTTTATGTTCTAAATCAGGCCCATCCTCATGATGGCTGAGATCTTCTTCGGGTTATCTTCGATGCCGCGCTCGGAGACGATAAAACACGGCAGCATACCTCTCGGGACCCCGAAAATGCATTTCTCGGGGTTGAGTTTGATGTCGTTTGCTCGGAGTTTCGTGAAGGTCTGCTCTAGGTCGTCTATGAGTTGGTCAACTCATTTGGACTTAACCACGATGTCATCTATGTAGGCCTCAACGTTTCGCCCGATGAGGTCCCCAAAACACTTGAGCATACAACGCTGATACGTAGCCCCCGCGTTTTTTAGACCGAACGGCATTGTGACGTAGCAGAACGATCCGAACGGGGTGATGAAAGACGTTGTGAGCTGGTCGGTCTCTTTCATCATGATTTGATGGTATACGGAGTACACATCAAAGAAGCAAAGGGTTTCGCACCCTGAGGTTGAGTCGACCACTTGGTCTATGCGCGGCAAAGGAAACGGATCCTTTGGACACGCTTTGTTGAGACTCGTATAATCAACACACATTCTCCATTTCTTACTCTTTTTTCGTACCAAAACAGGATTGACTAACCACTCGGGGTGATACACTTCCTTGATGAATCCGACCGCCAAAAGCTTCGTAATCTCCTCACCGAAGGTCCTGCGCTTCTCCTCATCGAAGCGACGTAGGCGCTGCTTCACTGGCTTGGAGCCTGGCCTAATCTTCAAGGCGTGCTCGGCAACTTCTCTTGAAATGCCTGGCATGTCCAAGGGTCTCCATACAAAGATGTCTCTGTTGGCGCGGAGGAAGTCGACGAGCGCGCTTTTTGATTTGGAGGGAAGTGTGGTGCCGATGTGCCCTCATTTTAGAGCTTTCCTATTTCAGAGCTGCTGGGGTCTATGCGGACCCCCTTGGCGCCTTCCACGAGCTGGAAAGACCCGACCGACCGCTTGGGGTCGGGTGCTTCTTCGACGATCTCCTCCCTGATGGCCGCGAGCTCTTTGGAGGCGACAATCTCCGAGGCGTGTTCGCAACACTCGACCTCTCACTCATAGGCGCGCTGGAAGGAGGTGCCGACAGTGATGACCCCACGCGGACCCAACATCTTCAACTTCAGATAGGTGTAGTTGGGGACGGCCATGAACTTCGTGTAGCATGGGCATCCCAGGATGGCGTGGTAGGTCCCATGGAACCCGACCACCTCGAAGGTAAGGGTTTCCGTACTGTAATTGGTCGGATTCCCGAAGGTGACAGGCAGATCAATTTGCCCGAGCGGCACGGCCTGCTTTCTAGGCACGATGCCGTGGAAAGGCGCCCCGGTTGGCTGGATGCGCGATTGGTCGATGCCCATGGCGTCGATCATCTCAGCGCACATGATGTTGAGGCCGCTGCCTCCATCCATCAGCACCTTGGTGAGCCTCTTCGTGCCGATGATCGGGTCGACTACGAGCGGGTATCTTCCCGGCTACGGGACGCTTTCTGGGTGGTCGGTCTGATCAAAGGTGATGGCGGACTCCGACCATCGGAGGAAGGAAGGCGTGGCCGGCTCAGCCACATAGACCTCGTGGCGCGCAAGCTTCTGGCGGCGCTTGGAGTCATAGGCCGCCGACCCCCCGAAGATCATGAGGCAACCATCCAACGTCGGAAAGCCGCCATCCTTCCCCTCGGTGTCGTCTGCCGTCGGCTTGAGCTTCTTCCTATGCTCCGCCTTATTGGAGCCATCGGACAGGAATCGCTTCATGAGGGCGCAGTCTTTGTATAGGTGCTTGATGAGGAAGGCATGGTTCGGGCATGGCCCTTCGAGCAGCTTCTCGAAGTGGTCTGGGGTACCCTCGGTGGGCTTTCGACCCCCCTTGCGGTCGACAGCGGCTACGAGCAGCCCTCGCGCCGTTGCTTGTTCTTCTTATTGGGGCGGTTGGAGGCGCCTTCACCGGCGTCCTCGTCCCGCTTCACCTTGCCCTTGGGACGGTTGAAAATCGCTCCGACCGCCTCCTCGTCCGAGGCGTGGCGGTGGTGATGTCGAGGAGCTCCTTAGTGGTTCGCGGGCCCTTGCGTCCCAGCTTGTGAACCAGTGACTCGCAGGTGGTCTCGGACAGGAAGGCTCCTAAACATCGGCGTCGGCGACGTCGGGCAGCTCGTTGCACTGCCGGGAGAAGCGCCGGATGTACTCACGAAGAGTTTCCCCGGACTTCTGTCGGCAGTTTTTGAAATCCTACGGGTTACTAGGACGCGTGTAGGTGGCCTGGAAGTTTCCCACGAAAATCTCCTTTAGGTCCGCCCAACTTTGAATCCGGTTGGACGGAAGGTGCTCCAACCATGTTCGAGCCGAATCGGCCAGGAACAATGGGAGGTTACGGATAATAAAGCTGTCACTATCCGCCCCACCAGCTTGGCAAGCAAGCTGGTAATCCTCGAGCCACAGTCCGGGGTTCGTTTCCCCGGAGTATTTCGGGATGTTGGTCGGCGGTCGGTACCACGGCGGGAAGGCGGCGTTGAGGATGTGTCGGCCGAATGCCTGAGGTCCCGGCAGGTCGGGGCTCGGGCTCCGGTCCTCGCTGTTGTCGTAGCGTCCGCCGCGACGAGGGTGGTAGCCGCGGACGGCTTCCTCTCTCTCGTGGCTTCGTCCACGCCTACGGGCATCTAGGGTATCACGTGCGTCACAGTGGAGGCCGAGACGCTCATGCCCCCCCCCGTCCTGAGGGTGCACACTGGTTGGCATGGTATTCACCTCTTCTGATGCTACATTGTTGCAACTTCCTGGGATATAGCATTTTCTGTTTCCATCACTACATCATCAGATGTTGTCACCTCTGGATGAGTGACCATAGCACTTTTGGTGTTCACCTGAAGCTCAGATGTTGTTCCCTGTTCCAGTAATTCAGGCTTGTCATCAAGTAATGAAGCTTGCACTGGTTCAACCTCCATGTTCTGTTGCTTGCCAGCTCTCTTCTCCCCCTGTTTAGGCCCTCCATCGCCAAATGGGGTGTAGTTATCAGATATTTCATCATCATCCCAAGAGTCCTCATCCTTTTTCTTCCCTGTTTTTTCAGTTGGAATTGACTTTCTTTCATTCTTCTCATTTTCCAAATTCCAGATGATGAAGAAACCTCTTCCATTGAAATACACCTTGGAAGACCCTTTGATAGCAGCAGGATCTTTGCAGGCTACCTTCAGTCTGATTGGCCCTAGGCCTGGAAGAGATTTTGGATCCACCTCTATGAAGTCCCCAACCAAATATGACGCCTCTTCTACAGCTTTTTCCTTCCTAGCCCAGTGAGGGAAGCCACACACCAAAACCCATACTTGAGAAAGAACATCAGTACAGCCCACCATCAGATCAGATTTCTCCGTTAGTAGCTTTCTAGCAAAATGTCACATACTCACACGGGAAAAGTTCCTTTTACAACTATAGTTCACCAATGGATTCGGCCCATGTAAGCGTGGCGGTGTATGTTGAGATTTGGCGAGGATAAATAGGAGGGAAGTAGTATTGTACATCACAGAAGGCTTAAACATTGTACAGTATAAAGACAATTCTGAATGAACGAAGTCAATCCGGCAGCTAACAGTCCCAGCATGCTTTGGGGTGAAAGGGGGAACAATTTGCAACTGAACAAACAGTGACTACTGTGATTCTCATTGATGGAATTCTTTATTTATTTCCATGGGTAACTACTGCAGGTATATAGTGCAAAACAATGTGACAAAGAGAACGAAACAAATGAAACTGCCCATACTTGTTGTTTGGCATCAGAGTGGAACAGATGTCACCAGCCACAAGCCTACAACAGAAAATAAACTGAACCTCAAATGGGAACGAACAAACGGTTCATTTTGAATAAACGATCACTCAGGGATTGTTTTCGATGCAACAATTCCACCATGGATAGTCCTCCCAACAAGAATGAGGTAAAGTTTCACATGAACATCAGTCGGGTATATAGAAATAGCAGCAATGCGTTCTTCATTTATGGAATTACAAACTACACATCTGTTAACAAACTATAGGGAATATATACACCAACGACCAATACAATTGCCAAATAACTTTCCTGACTATGTATATGTATGTACACCGGAAATTGGGCATAGCTACGTAATCTGGTACGGTGGAACAGCTATAATAATGGTATAAGTCTGCTTCACCTATGGTTCAAGAACTAAGACCCCCTGAGTACTGTAATGTAATGGAGTTTGGTGTGGTGGAGCGGCTGTAATATTTCGCCTCACCTATGGCTTTTAGGCGCTAAAACCCTTGTCGATAGAGCTCCAGGGGTTGGAAGGAATGCTGGTGCAAGCCTGAGCGGCGACCTTTGACACTGCTTCAGGAAGGATGCCAGCGTTGCAGATGTTTGCGAAGGATCTCATGTGCTTCATCCCATACTGCGCCAACGACCCACATTGCGCCTCAAAAGTACGAACCTGAAGCAAATGCAGAGGTTGGTTAGGCATGCAAAAATGCAAGCAGAACAAGAGTATTTTTCATGCTTTAGCTGCAAGCATAGTCAATAGAGGCTTACCATGGACTTGAGACAACTCCAATCATCAACCAGAGGTTCACCAGCTGCACGGACGGCTTTCAGAACCCTTGGACCGTCCTCAGAGCCAAAGAGAAGGCTTCCAATGAGCTCAACACTGTTGTCAACATGAGACCGGTGGGACATCACTTCAAGCAATTCCTTCCGAGCTTCATTTTTCTTAGATGAGCCATCAGCCAATTTCCGGTACTTCATTACAGATAAAGAAGCCAATCAGTTGGTTTGTTCATCGAAATGAATGCATAAATTGTTGAAAAGAAATGAATGAAGAGATCTTCTGAGAACAATCAAGATAACAAGCTTTCTCATGATTTACAAACCTTCTGCCAGAAGTAGACAAGATCAGCATCACGCTGATTAACAGCTTTTGAAAATGATGGCAATGAGTTATCTTCTACAAACGTGTTGCCATCGTTAGCAGGGTTTGTGCCAATGTATGAAAACAATTTCTGAACATTCAACTCCAATGAGCCATATTGCATCACATGGGAACCATAGCTGAATGTATCCTGAACCGCTGTCCTATCCTTGACCTGATGAACCAATAAATTACATTGATTAGGCATAATGAAGCGTCGCTGGAAGGTAATGCTTAATAAATTCAAGTTCAAAACACTCACCAACTTGTACTGCTGCTTGAGAGATTCAGTTCGCAGATTGTGGAAATCACTGTCAACATTGAGAAATTTCAAATAAGCACTAAATGAGGAAAAGTGGTATCTTTCTTCAAAGTTTAAACATATGAACCAAGAAATAAGATTATATGCACAGCTGACCTACCCCGATATTTAGATCATTAGACGTATGACAAAAAAAACAGAGCACTACAAAAGAATTGATAAGTCTATTTCTATGGTTATTATATTTGCAGCCTACACAAGGGCTAGGCGCTAACTAGTTACATGCATAGTTTGAGTTGAGCTGCACTGCTGCAGCAACAGAACGTGGTCTGCAGGCAGCGCAGCACAATAGCTGGTGAAGACTCATTTTACTAGTATTTCATTTCTTCTCTATCCCATTAAGGAAACTGCGCAGATTGAAATGTTCAGTTCATTCTTTTTTAATGAAGTTAAGTACAGAGCACATGGTCCAAAACAACTGCTGCAAGGCATCATATCGTGGGGAAAATTAATAAATTTCTTGACAAGCATGTGCACCTAAAAGTAGAGCAAAAGTAACACATGCATATCCTTCAGCATCTGACTTTAATTAACAAAGACAGGGTAGTCAAGTTATCAGGTACTAGTACCATACTAATTGGTTAATCATTCCCAGATAACAAATCCGTACAGTACTATGTTAACTAACTTATTGGTTTATCAAGTACTTTGTTAACTAACTGATGTGAATGAAACCAAAACAGACACAGATCCATGGTACTACATGTGCATTGGTTTGACAGGTTCTGGACAATATTTCACAGTACCAAAATGCAACGAAAAAGACAAAAAAAATCAAGTACCTGTCTTCCATCCAAGAAACACTATACAGGTCTCCCAAGCAAGTGTCATACTCCGGTGGAGGGCTCGGGAACTCGCCAGGGCAGTACGTCCCCCAGCTGCTCTCCTCTGCATTTGACGCGGTGGTCGCATACACATTGATGTCATCTGGCAGGAGGCCCTCAAAGATGCTCCCAGATTCGCATGCTTCAAGGTAAAAGACCTACAAAAGGTGAAAGAATACGCATATACCTCAAGTCATTGCTTCACATATCACAACTCTGCAGAGCAGAACTGAACAAACAACTAATGATACCAGGCTTTTGTAGGTCCCAGCAGCATGCTTCTTCTTCAGGACATCTACGAGGTCATCACCGTAGAGATATGGATATGTAGGCATTCCTGAATTTTTTTTACAGAGTAAATAACTGTGCCTATTTTGGTTCTACATGCATGTACGCACTGAAATTTTATCTAATGAAACATCTAATCTGAATTAAATCAATTATGATTAGTTGTGAGTACTGACCAAGGACACCAGGACCTCCATGGTCACTGTAGAAAACAAAGATATGATCATTGGGGCCACTGTCCACAACCTTGCCGCTCCCACCTGTCAGAGCAGTTTTGTTGCCAAGCAGAACAGCGAAGAAATTGTTGACACTGACCTCTCGCCCAGTGTAATCCTGCAGTGGGGAACAGATTAATTTAAGCCAAATGGATGGAAAATTGAGACTAAGGGTGCGTAACTATCAGTGTTATAAAGAGAGAGATGTTGACATTAGTATGTGCAAATTTCAATTGTAATTAGGTTCTCTAAGCTTTTTTCGTCACAAAATTGCAGACTAATCCAGTTTTGTCGTTCACAACAAATAGGCCAAAGACGTCAGGCCGATGGGAATTTAGGCACTCTGTCATTTTCACTATAGTACTTGGTGCTATTGATATTTTCGGGGCTAAATACATTAATTATAATACTGTCACGATGTGACTTTTCTTTTTCACAACCGCTCCACTTAGTAGTAATAAGTTAATCTTGGAACATGTCTAACTAGTGTAAACTTTACTCAAGGAATAAAAATATGGATTACCTTTGGAACCCCAGCATAGACATCGCCACCCTGGGGATGGTTGATGATGACACCAGGCCTCGGATTCTCCGCGCTATGCGCGATGTCATCGTACATGAAGACAATGATGTTCTCGTCCTTGAGTCCTCCCTTCTTCATGATCTGGTACGCATGGCAGATGTCTGCCTGCAAGTTCCAATCCCAAAAAGAGCTTGTATTAGCTTCCAACAAAGATACTGTTATATTAGTACGTAGTTAACTTTTTTTTGTCAATAAAAACATAGGACTGATTATGGTTCATGCCTGATTCCTCTAACCATAATATTCGAGGTAATATAGAAGGGGAAAAATCATATGCTAGTAGTAGTAACTTGGAACACAAAGCATAAGCCAGATGAATGATGCTCACACAATCAGACATCCAGCACATGGTAAGAACAGTATTTTGATTCCATTTAATATGAATAATTAAATTGTCATGTTTCTAGGCAGGTGTAAAATATCAGCACTATATATTTGGCCTTATCAGTGGTTGCTGATCCCCGGCGGCTGGCCGGCTCCCCGCTACACTGATGGTGACATGTAGGCCCCAAAAAGTCAGAGAAGTTTCATCACCTACCTGACCTTCCAATTTCCCATCCCGAGAAAATGGTAAGCCAGAACAAGAGATCGTAACGAATCCAGTTCATGACTTCATGCGACGAATGAGGTGGACCGAAACGGAAAAAATCTTCCTAATATATTACTATTATCGGGCGGTGCAGGTGGAATGGCCAAAACTTAAAGTTTTGCTTTCATAAAGTCACCGAATGGGCAGCGAGGAATAATCTTTGTAGCTTTAATTGTGGATGATCAGCTGTCATCAATGATTTCAAGTCGTCCGATTAATCGCGATTAATCGCGATTAATCGTCCTAATCGGTCCTGGGTGCTCGATTAGGGACCTCGACCCGATTAGCTCGATTAGGGGCCTGGTCGTCCGACTAATCGTCGCCTAATCGCGATTAGTCGTCCGATTAGGGGTGGGACAACTAGTTTTGGCTGTTTTTTTTTTTTTTGCCTGCTGGCCATGCGGGCGCGCCAGAAGCGCGTGCAGTGCGCGGCTGCGTGGTCCACGAGTGCGCAGGTCGGAGCGGCGTGGGAGGGATAAGGGGTTTTGGCTGGTAGCGACAAAAATTTCACGGGAAATTAACAGCCGCCGCCCGCCCACATGCTTTCGCGACTTCATGATCGCGCCATCCCTCTGCTCGCCGGTGGCGGCGCCCTGCTGACCTGCTCTCGCGGCGGCCCTACTCCCTCCGGCGGTCCCGCCCGCCCTCTGCTCCCGTGGTGGCCAGCCGCCCAGCCCTCTGCATCCTGCTCCCGCCGGCGGCCATCTGCGCCAGTCCGCTCGCCCTCTGCTCCGCGGTGGCTGGCCATCTGCGGCTCTGCGCCCGCCCGCCCTCTGTTCCTGCAGTGCACAGTGCGCTCGACCCTCCTTTCAGTGTCTCTCTCCCGCCGCTTTGCCATCTCCTCCCGCCGCCCTCTGCTCCAAAGCAGGGCAGCCCTCTCTGCTGATCTATTCCCGCCGCAGCTGCCTCCCTGCCGTTCAGGTCCTTCCCTCATCCCCTGCTCCTCTGCCCTCTCATCTCTACTCCTCTGATTTGGATGCTTCATGTTCTCTCAGGGGTCAGGGGCTCAGAGTTAGAGCTGCATTCCTCTGATTTGAAGGCCTGAAGGTGCCGGCCCTCTGCTCGTTGGTGATGAGCTGCTCTGACGACTGTATGTCCATTTTCCCTCCCCATCTGCTCTCCTGACCTACATGGCTGCATCCTCCCCATCTGCTCTGTTATGTAATATGCTGCCCGTGTGGCTGCCATGGTCTGCTAAATGCTAGATATTTGCTACTGCAGCAGTGCTGCTATTGATATGTGTCAATAACTCAAGATCAAGACTACATTAGTGTTGCTAATTATGGTGTTCTTTGGTATTGCAGGCTTCCAGCAACAAGTCAGCAAAGGAATGGAGTTTGGGACAGTTGGACAGTGAAGAAAAGGCAAGAAAACAACTCCCACAAGTAAGTCACTTGCTAAACACTAATGTAGTCTTGATGCTTGCTATATTGTGTACACTATATAGTACATATAGGTATATATATAGTATGTATATGTCCTGATGCATAGGACGATTATATGGACGACCAGGGTCGACTAGGCTCGACTAATCGGCCTGGTCGACGACTAATCACGATTAGTCGCCTGGTCGGTCCTATAGCGACTAGGTTCGACTAGACGACCTGAAAACATTGGCTGTCATATCAAATATTCAGATCGTACTCCTGCCCCGAATCAGGTTCTACAGGTTGCCCGCATAGATGATTTCGAAAGGCAAAATAGTCACATCACGAAGGAAATTAAACTACGCGAACGGGAGGGGAATCGAGTAAGCAGCCAAGCCGATGATGCAGCATGTGCGGTGCGAGGGCCTATTTCGATTTACGGGGAGGAGCGAAGAGGAACGGAACGAAGCGCGTATATGTACCTGGTGGCGGTAGTTGTAGTAGCCGCTGGAGCCGGCGACGAGCACGGCCCACCGTGTCCCGACGGCGTCGTCCGTTTCGTCGCCGGCCGCCGCCGCCGCGAGCTCGGACGGGAGGCGGATTGTCGGCTCGAGGCGTGTGCGCGCCCACGCGGAGCAGAGGCACACGGAGAGTAGTAGCAGCGCGAGGGGGAGGCGAGCGGCCACCATTGCGTAGCACGGAAGAAGGCGAAAGACGCGAGAGTGGAATTGGGAGTCCGTTGGGGGGAAGGGGGGTTTGGTTGGTTGGTCCCGGAGGAAAAGCCTCCAACGTCTCCTTTTATCTTGAGCGGTTAGAGATAGTGGGGCCCGGCGGGAGGACATTTCGTATTTGTTGCAGCTACGTAGCTTTTTATTAGTTAGTACTAGTATTATATTAAGTGGTTAGAGATAGTTTAATTTAGGTTATTAGCTGTTCTAGGCCTGATAGAGAGCTGAAAGAAAAATTTAAGTACGTAGCAAAAAAATCACTGGGCGTACCAGAGTCCCCTGAAAGATGATGGTAGAGGGACCACTCCGTCGCTAGATCGTTTTGTGGTTTATAAACTGACTAATATTGTTTTATCGTGAGAGAAAAATATTATATCATACCTGATAAAAAGCGATCGAGCTGTGTGGCCTCCGCTCTGTTCTGATTGCCCAACTACTGGTACTGCTGGGTTTGTTCGTCCTAGATTTGTTGTCCGTCTCCGTTGTTGGTTCCATCACCATTCCATGGCCTGCCTGCCTGCCTACCGCCCTACCCTACGGTCCACGTACACCGGACGGACGCCCGGCCGGCCGGGCCTCTCTCTGACATGGACCGACGAGGACCACCAGGGGTCCAGCCGTCCAGGCTTATGGCCGCCGCTGCTCAACACGTACGGATCATCGGCGGCCCCCTAATCACCAGCTGGAGCTCGAATTTTTTCTGCTCGCAACAGCTGTCTCTCTTCGTGGCCACCAAGGATTTTTTTTGGGCAAAATTTGCCGAGGGACAGCGTTCAAAGGTGTCTTTTTCTATAAACCACCGAAAAAAGATGTCTTCGTCAAAAGACATAAAAAATCATAGACAACATGCTGGAAGATATTAAACTGATTATTATATTTGGTTTTAATGGACAACCATGCAAAATGACGAAAATGCCCTTACCCTTTCATCCCTTCCTCCTGCGCGTGCTGCTCGTGCTCGACTCAAGCCTGTCGGAGACCCCGGGCGTTGGATCGCGCCCTCTCGATCCGCCGGGTTGGGGCCTGTTCAATCCGGCTGTGGTGGGTTTTGGCTAGCATGGAGCTCAAGGTTGAGGCAACGGGGGATCTGATCCTTCTTTCCGCCATCTATGCGCGCCGCTACCGCCATAGCCGGGGCCGCCTCCTGCTTCTTTTCGGTGCGGATGCGGGCGAGTGCGAGTCGGACTTCGGAGCGGCACACGCAGGAGGAAGGGATAAGAGGGTAAGGGCATTTTCGTCATTTTGCATGGTTGCCCATTAAAACCAAATATAATAATCTATTTAGTGTCTCCATAATAGTATTGGCTATGATTTTTTATGTCTTGTAGCAAAAGACACCTTTAAACTGTGTCCCCTCGCAAATTTTGCCTTTTTTTTTTTTTGCCACCAGGCACCCCACCATACGGACTGCCGTTGGGTTTTTGAACTCTTTCTTGCGCGCCTACCCTCTTCGATTCGATGGAAGGCTCCCTTGGTTTCTTATGGACGTGTCATCAACACGTCGTGCACACGGTAAAAATCATTTCATCGTAGTGGATCAATCGGCAGTGGCCGTCTGTGATCTGACCTTTTAATTACCTATCTCATTTATAATATTGTATGAGTCATCGATGTATAGTCTACTGTAGCACTTTCGTGCAAATGGGATTATAGTTTAGAAAAATAGATTGGAGAGTTAAGGCTTTCTGGATACTCACTGATAAAAGAATCAGAAAGGTACACCATCGTACTTCACTGATTAATACAGAAGTAGATTCGTAAAACTAATGCTAGCTTAGAAAAACGTCATCGCACACACTATACTTTTTAAGAACCAAACCTTGGAGAAACACGCATCTTTTTTGTTGGCACTCTACCCCGTGAATTCACTCTTTTCTAAATGGATGAACTTCGCAATACTATACTTCCACTATCATATTGTTGTTTCATATCACAAAAACACACTTTTAATTAAAAGCCTAAATATATATAGAGTCAATCTTGCAAAGACCAAATGGCGTAAATGCCATGTGGGACTCATTACTCGTAGACTTCCCCTCATGACCATCAAACATGAACTAGTCTCTCCATTCCAAATGTAAGGCCATGTTTGAAATGTGAGAAATTTAACTGATTGTTGTGATATTTTTATGTGATTTTTTTTTTTAAAAACAACTATGTCCCAGACAGATTGTAGCTAGCTTAAGTGTTTTGGTTTTGTGCTGAGGCCCTGTTCGTTTGAGCTTATCAGCCAGAATTAGCCCTACTTTTCAGCCATGGGAACAATATTTTTCTCTCACAACAAATCAGCCCTACAAATCAGCCGCACCAGCAACAAATCCTACTGAACAGGGCCTTAGTTAAGATTCCTGTACTTTAATCAGAATAATAGAAGTCCTTTCACACAGTCTCAAATTATAGACTCGCTCGACGAGCGGTGCCGTAGCAAACTTGCTTTCTTCCTCGAGCGGCTCCCAGCAGATCCAGCGGGCCCCCTCCCTGCCACCTTCGGGCGAGCTCGCCGGAGCGGGCTGGGAGTGGGCCTCCCCCTCTAGTAAATAGTTTGTAGTATCTAGTAGTTTCTGTATGAGTGTCTCCCTCATGAGGAAGTCCTGTCTTGGAGCTGCAGCTACCGTCGCCAACGTTGTGCTCTTCCTCGTCATCTTCCTCGGTGTCGACGACGTTGCCTCCAAGGTCAGTGGAAATAAAATAAACCCAATCTTCTACTATGCGGATCTCTTCTTCTCCATCTCTGTTTCCACCTCCACCTATCATCGCTGATATCCACTTCCCTCCCATCCGCAACCTTCGCCGCCCGCTTTCTTCACAACACAGCAGCCTATGGTCCTGCTGCTCCCTTCTACAGCAAGGCAGCTCCTCTTCTGGTTTTGGTTTGATAGCTCCGCCTCCACCTGGGATCCTGGTTTGAGCTTCCTCCTCAACCTCTGGCGACGGCATCAACAGCATCCTTCGGTCGCCGGTGTGCTGCTCCTCCGTTGGCTTAGCGGATCCACTTTTAACCGACACTTTGTGCGGTCAGTCCATCCGGGTGCATGCGTCTATGACGCCCCTGCGGCCCCCCGCCGGTGGATTCGTCATCATCATCGCCGTCGACGTTGTTGCCTTCCCTTTCAGATGCAGGGCTTCGTTGTATTTTCGTCTTCTTTGGAGGACGTCTTTGTAATATGGCTGTTGTGATAATATAAAATATGTGATGTTGTAAAGAAAATCAAAATAATAGAAAATATATGACTATCAACACATTTTTCAAGGTGTGTTTCACTACTACAGAAAATATCTTTACTGACGGTACTTTCTATATTTCTACCGGCGCTTTTATCTACCGCCAACGTGAAAGGTCAGTAAAAGTCAACAAACTTCTACCGGCGCTTTTACAAGTGTGAAAGACCAGTAATCCGGTTTATAAATATTTACACCGGTAGTTTTCATAAGGGAAACACCACTGTAACATTTTCACAAGAAATATGCACATATGCAGTTCTCTGGAATCAAACTTAGAACCTTAGGTCTCATGTGTCACACCTCTTATCATTGCACCTTAAAGTCACTTATGATTTAACAACATAAATATTCTCTTAGTATTTTTTTGTTTGAACTGTCACCGGGGAGAGTTAGTCTCCACCTGAATATATATTGATACAAAAATCAATAGCCTTGTTTTGGGGGGAAAAAGACAAAACCCTTTTGTTCGGTTAATTTTGAAAAATCGGACTAAAACCATGCAACAGCCCCAACACAAGGGCGAGCTTGTGGCATACCCACTAAATAAGAAAAGAAAAAACAACAATAGATGCCCTAGCGCAAAGGCGAGTTTGTGCATACCCACTAATGAGAAAAAACAACAACGGATGCCCCCGTACAAGAGCGAATGGTGGCAGAACCACAATACACCAGTAAGAAGAGAAAAATTGCAACACCAAGGCACGAGAACTCCTCAACGATGCCTCCAGGAAAGTGAACGACGCAAGAACGTAATCATCATCAGCCAAGCAGAAGCTTAGCAAGGCTTTCGCCTGAGTCTTGTGCCGAGGATAACTGCGAATGGCCAGGAGTCTACAAGAGGTTCTTCAGCGACGCCTTCAAAAAAGGAAACTCCGCACGATGGCGTCCATCGTCGCTGCCCAGCCTAGGGCTGAGCTGAGATTTCGCCTAGAACCCTCTTAAGTGCTCTCACATACGAGGCAACAAATGGCATTGCTTGCATGTTCGGACTCCAGAGCAACTTTGCTTTTGATCATTTTTTCATTTATTAAAATCATTAATCTTAAAACATAATTTCTGAGCCATAAATGATTCCAAATAAAAAAGTAGTCAACTACAAAGTTGTAGATCTTTTCAAATACTACAACTTATGTTCAGATCATTTCTCTATCCAAGAGCTTTTTAAAAAAAAACACCAGCTGATGGTAGGCTTAAGAAAACGGTCAGTAAAAACGAATTTACACTGACTGTTTATAGCGATGGCCCATAGTAACATTTCTACTGATGTCTATACATTATGAACCGTTAGTGAAAAAAATTACAAATGTCAACCAATATCCATTTTGACTTATGCTAATACTTATGCTGAAATATTGTGAGAGGAAAATACTGTTTTATTGCTGAAAAATAGCTCAAGCTAACAGGGCAGGGTGTAAGTCATCTTGATTCAATGGTAGGTGTGGCGTACTTACTGCCTAGCTACGCTATCGTGTCTTTAATGTGTGACACAAAAGAGTACAATGTGTTATTTTTTCATTGTGCGGTATATAGTACGTAACTTCGTATAAGGTTTTGGTCTTGAACTATCAAAGCGTCAACTTTAGTCCTTAAACAATGAATTTGTATGTCGATGTCGTCCATCCCCATTAATTACTCGCCACGAGTCCATGAGTACGTGTGAAATGTCATTGCTACCCCTCGCTCCGTCCTTTAGCAGCCGCCCAGGCTCACGGCGTCCCCGTCCACCGTTTCCTCCCTCT